AAAAAAAACTACAGTCGGTGACACCTGATAGGAAACATATATTTAGCTTTATATCACAGGAGTATATAAAATGAACCTTCAGAATTTATATAATGTGCCTTTTGTGCCTTCCGTTTATCTTTCCCCTTAATTATCGACTTGGGTGCCATGCTTTTCGCTTGTGTTAACACTAGGTAACCGCGGGGTCACTGCATTATTCGGTTACATGAATATTATGAAGTATTATTTTAAAACAAGTTGCCATTTCCTAAAATGTATACGATTACATATATGTGATTTGATGCTGAAACATATAGGAAATAAAAATAAACATTTCTTTCAAACTTAATATTTACTACCCAGAACCCTCTCTTTCTTTTCCTGCCTTTACAGTCGCCATGAAGTGAGTGGTTTTCAAGACTATCTGGAGCCATCTGAGCTTTAATTTCATAAACAAATGCACATCTGCTGTCTGTACTACTTAGTAGTATATAATAAACCAATAACCATATTTTATTTTTCTGCTACAGGGTCGAACTCTGCAGTTTCAGTGGGTATAAAATATATCCCGGCCACGGCCGACGTTATGCAAGGATAGACGGAAAGGTAATAGCCGCCGCGGACTGCGTCTGATACCTTGTTGTATTAATTAAGTTGCACTGGAAAAGCTCCGTCTGCTTTTGTCACACTACAGTATACAGCCATGTTTCTGTTATTAGCAGGAGTGCCTCCGTTCAGTTATTTGTTCAAGAAGTGTAGCAGTATTATAACGCTGGCATGCTAACAGCTGAATTGTAGTTGTCTATGGAGGGAAATCCCGGACATTTTTCAAAAGGAATTGCAAATTGCATATAACAATCCTCCTCCCTGATGCAGGTCTTCCAGTTTCTTAACGCGAAGTGTGAGTCAGCTTTCCTGGCCAAGAGGAACCCCAGGCAGATCAACTGGACTGTGCTTTACAGGCGCAAGCACAAGAAGGGCCAGTCTGTAAGTCACCTGCTACTAATTATTTTATATTTTCCTGGTTGACAGTGCTGCCTCACAGCTCTGCATTCTGTCCAGTGAAAGCTTTTAGTTGTGTGAGACCAGGAGCCTCTATCATGACCAGACTTCTTGCTTAGTTGGATAACCCAGACTACCTTAAATCCTTAAAATTTATCTGGCTAAGCAAGAATGTTGCTTTGTAATGCAATTGGTTGCTGTATGGTAGATGTGTATTGTTCCCTGGTCCTCCTGTAAAAGGTAAATGAACAGATGGTGGTACTAATTGTTTTAGTGAGTTATAAGCTTAATGTTCTTTAACAGTGAATTTAAATACAATGAATTATTGCAATGAATTAGTCTTTGATAACTTTGTCTCGCTGTCCTGATAGGAAGAAGTGACAAAGAAGCGTACCCGCCGTGCTGTGAAATGTCAGAGGGCCATCACCGGTGCCTCCCTGGCTGAAATTTTGGCCAAGCGCAACCAGAAGCCTGAGGTGCGCAAGGCCTTGCGGGAGCAGGCCATCAGGTGAGTGTCCTGCCACTGTGTCCCTGGGGCTATCATCAGAATCAGAATCAGCTTTTATTCGCCAAGTGTGCTGGGGCACACAAGGAATTTGTTTCCGGCAGCTTGATACTCTCTCGTACACAGGCAATAAGCGACACTATACAAACAATAAATTACACTGTACAAGAAATACAAATGTGTAAACAAAAACTAAGAAAGTACATGAGATCATTCTGATCTCATGGTAACTATGGTTTCCATAGTTAAGGATTATTGATCTGTATAGGATTGGTGTGAGTGATGGGGGTGGCGGTGGTTTGTTCAGCAGGTTATAACTAAATACTTGTGATCAAAAGGTCATTGGTTCATATCCCAAGGCCTGCAGACTGATGGCACAGATGGGTCTTGGGGAAAGCGATGGGATTGAAAGTTTCAGTTTGGATTGTAAGCTTTTTTAGTTGTTATGGTTGGTTTTCTGGGTTAAAGCAAGAGTAATTGTTTTTTAAACAAGAGTGATCATGTTTGTGTGAAAGACATTGGTGCTTTGTATGTTTTTTGTGTTTTTTTCCTCCATATTTTACTGCCATATTGTATGACCAGGGCTGCAAAGGAAGCCAAGAAGGCCAAGCAGGCAACTAAGAAACAAACGGCAGTAGCTGCAAAGGTCAGATCATGTTACTCATCTGTAAATGTGTTATTGCGTACTCACATTTTGCCCGATTGCCTTGTACCCCTCCCAGTTAGGCACCTGGTGGTGACATGCATTTTTATACCACATCAACATGGTACAAATATACATGTTTAAAAAGGTCTTTCAGATATACCTAGGCTACTGGATTGCTATTCAAGGGCAAAGGGTTCAATTTGTGATGCATTATATTGGTTGCTTTATTGTGTTTATTGTGTTGTATTCTTATTACCGTATGATAAATTTTCAGCTTTTAATCATAACCACTGATACCAAACGTGTAAAAAATCTGTGTACATTTATCATTAAGTTTTCAACGTTTGTGCTAAAAGACAAAGTATTTATGCTTGGCATTACAATTGCCCTGACGTGACCTAATGCGATATATGCTTAAAATAGTGTCGCAAAAGAATTTAATAAAATGTTTTTTTGGAGATGCCACAGTGCGCTTCGCATTGAATAAAATGTGCTACCTGTGGAAAGATTGCTCTGCTATGGGTACAAAAAAGCAGAGAAATTTAGATATAGACTATGTGAAGTTCAATTTTGATTATCAGACAGTTTGAGAGAGAGTCTGTCATTCAAGTGGTTACTGGAAGGAACACATTTAATATATAAAATAAACACTTTCACAATAGGTATAATGTAATTTCTAGCTAATAATTTCACGCAGATGCTAACAGCTGCAACACTCAAGGACCTTCTTTCCTACATGATTGCAATCATGCAAAGTGCACTGTGGCATCGTGTTTATGGCATTATTATTATGTATTTCAATTTTACACATTGTATAACATACTGGGTATACTTCAAGTTAACATTATTTCATTCTTTTGTGACACATATATTGCACTTTAGGGTAATTACAATGCCCTGCATAAATAATTAGTCTTTCTGCACTAACTTTTACAACTCGATAATTATTGTTTCTTGTTATTGCAAATGTAAGGAATAGATTAATGGGTTTCTATCTGGTGATAGCTAGAAAAGATAGTCTAGTGTGGTTAATAATTGTTCAGCTCACCATTATTACCAGATTGGTCATTCCATACACCACACATTTGGACCTCATCGTCACAGATTTTAACGAAACTTGGCATTCTGATTTGGTCACATGAGTAACTCATGAAACTGAATTGGACGAGTCTTGGCTCAATATTGAGGGAGATTTAAGCGAGCAAAGTTTGAACTTTTTTTGGGGGGGGGGGAGGCTTTGACTTTGACTGGCTATATTTACCTTATTGTAAGTTGCACAGACGTGGTCCTTATACTGTTTTAAAGCTATTGTGCAGCTCTATAGATTGAATGAATATGCCATCCCCATTTGAATACAGTAGAGTCTCGCTTATCCAACCTTTGCTTATCCGACATTCAGTATTATCGGACGTCCCACTGCAAAAAAAAAAAAAAACGCATCAAGAACTGCAAGTTGTGAGCGTAGTCTATTTTTTGTTGCACCCGACTCTAATGCAGCTAATTAGTTACCCCTACTGTACAGTGGCGCGCCCGTCTACACAATGACTCGTGTCTGTCATTCACCCCACCCTCACTCACTCACTGTCACAACTCACTACTCAGTGCAGCGCAGTTTATCATTGTATGCAGATCGGTTTATCGTCTGTTACATGCGTATGTGTCTGTGTGTGTTCATTTGACAAACGTTGTTTTGTTGTAAAACATGATTATTAGGTTCGTAATATGTAAAATTATAACATAGTTTGACGTTTAATAGGCTTTGTCTTAACACCTCCCATTATCCGACATTTCTGCTTATCCGACTTTCTGCCAGCCTGTTTGTCGGATAAGCAAGACTCTACTGTAATTACTATGTAATAACTGATTAAAATATCCATCCATCCATTGTCCAACCCGCTTATCCTACTGGGTCGCGGGGGGTCCGGAGCCTATCCCGGAAGCAATGGGCATGAGGCAGGGAACAACCCTGGATGGGGGGCCAGCCCATCGCAGGGCACACTCACACACCATTCACTCACACATGCACACCTAAGGGTAATTTAGCAACTCCAATTAGCCTCAGCATGTCTTTGGACTGTGGGGGGAAACCGGTGTACCCGGAGGAAACCCCACAACGACATGGGGAGAACATGCAAACTCCACACACGTGTAAAAATGTAATACCAAAAAACCTATATTTCACAATTGATCAATTTTTTTACTAAAACTAGATCATAATGTCATGAACATCTCCAGAAAATTTGGTCTTCGGTTTTTGAGTTGTTGCCGAGATATCATTACTTATCTGAAATGTGTATCAAAACCACAATTCCTTACAATGCTGTTAGTAGTAGCAGAATAGCAGTTAGTGATCAATGCATGGTACAGGGTTATTATTTTTCATGACAACTACTATTGCCAGAACTAGCTGTGGAAATATAATTTAAATTGCTATACTCTCAATTTATAGTCCATCAGAGCCTTTGATGCAGCTATTGTGCCTTTGCTTGAAATTGTGTATGTCCGCCCTGTTGCTGTCACAGGTTCAACTACTAAAAACACATCCTGATGATCCATAACAAGTCTATCAGGATGGCATGGGAATGAATAGGATGGAGATGGTCCATGAGGATGCAAAAAGCTCAGTCTCAACTCTCCAGTGCTGGGTATAGTTTCTTCAACACATCCTAGCCACCAATTATCATCATATGCAGCCACGACATAACCTTTGATGATTGCAAAATCGAGTTATTGCCTCAGTGTGCACACCTCATTCACCTCTGATGAATGCAGGGCATTTATTAGCTATATTTACTAGCCATGTGGGCCTTTTCAATAGTATGGCAAGTACAGGTGTCTGCGATGACATTAATGAAGCTTCCATTAAATTTCATTGTAGCATATTTGTAACCTTAATTAATGTTATTACTTACACCTGTGCTTGTTATATTATTTCATGTCAGTTTGGCTGCCATTAAAAAGGCCCATTAGTGATATGAAACTATGTGAAGATATCTTGGCAACACTTTAAAAACCAATTTTGTGGAGATGTTCATGACATTATGTTCTTGCTTTAGTAAAAAAAAATGATCAATTTTGAAATATAGGTTTTTTTTTGTTATTGATTTTTAAATATTTTAATCAGTTATTACATAGTAATAAAAAATGGGGATGCCATATTATTTATTCAATCTATAGAGCTGGACAATAGCTTTAAAACAGTATAAGGACCACGTCTGCACATGTTATGTTCTTATGTCTGTGCAGCTTACATTAAGGTAAATATAGCCAGTCAAAGTCATAGCCCCCCCCCCC